TTTTCGTACCTAAAGAGACTTTTCAGCTTCTGAATGGTGAATCCGGAATTCCAAAAGGGATGAATCTAGTCTCCATTCCTAAGGAAGACCTTTTCAGTTTCCTCGGGAGTGGGAATCTCAGCTTGCACAGGTGGGTCGGATTTCTATTCCCGAGGAAACTCCTCATTTCCCGAGCGGATAGGTGGCCAGGCCAAGCTCGCACAACCAACCCGACACCCGACCAGTCTCTGTTGCTCAACAGCCAAAATGAAAAACACAAAAAGTTTTACCTTCCCGGTATGGGGGCAATTCGGCCTCGGTTTGGTTCCTAGTGGTTTTATCTCGGTCACCTCGCTGCTCCCTTGTTTGCTTGCAATTGAAATGATGATTTTCACACCTAAAAAATCGGTTAGTGTAAAATAGGAAGAGATTAAAGGAAAATAGGGGAAGAAAAGATGAAAAACGAACCCTTTTTATCTTGCTCGTGTCGGCCTCTGCCATCGCATGGCACCTCGGGCTGATTCCTCTCCTTCCTTCTTCCTTTCGGCTCGCTTCCACCACTCTCCCACCTCCACCTCTCTCCTCTTCCTTTTTCTCCCCTTGCGGTAGCCGTTCTCGGCTCTCGCTTTACTTTCTTACTCGGCCACTCTTTTTTTTTCTCCTTTCCCTTCTCCTTCTCTGGCCTCCTTCTTCCTTTCCCTTCTCCTTCTCCGATCTCCCTCTTCTTTTCCTCTCTTTCTTTCTTCCTCTCGGCTTCCCCCGCGCGACAATCTCCTCTCTTCCTTCTCACCTGATCGACTCACCTCTCTCTCTCCTCCTCTCTCTTTTTCGGCTACTCACCCAAAAGAAGAGAAACCCTAAACTTTTTCTTTTTATACCCATTCTCCCAATCGTTGGATCTCCCTAACTCGATCTGGGCCGTTCATTCTTCATTAAATATTAGCTATTTGATCTTCTCAGATAGTTCGATCAGAACTGTCTATTCCCTGTTTTTTTTTTGCCCCCTTCCACTTCCACTTATTTATACTTTCACTTCCCTTTTTTCTTATTTGTTTTTATTTACGCCATTCAAGTTAAATAAACCCCCAAAATTCTTAAAATTCTTCATTTAAATCTAATTTCTGATTTTAATTTATTTTTTACATTTTATTTATTTATTTAGGGGTGGATGTTACAGTCAGTGCAATACCAAACCCAATAAATTATTTTCTCATTATATTTATGCATATTAATTAAAATTCAAGCTAAAAATTAAATAAAAAATTGAATTAAATTCAATATAATTCCAATGTGTTATTGGGCAAATTTTTAAGCTAAACTCTCTTTCTTGATAACTTCTTAAATATTTATGTGAAGAAAACCACTCCAGCATGTGGGTTAAACCTCACCATATATATAGACAAAATTAAGTAACATTGTTATGATCTCCAAACCTGGGACGCTGCCATAATTCTTCTCTTGGCAATCAAATGGAGTCAAACGTTGTGAAAATGTTTTTGTCTTTCACTTTTTTTTTTCTTGGCTGGTTCATCAAACTACAGACACAGATCAATCTCTCAAGTTTTGTCCCATATATCAACCAACCTTGTGATCATCGATGAATTTTGTCATGGTACTCAACTGATGAACAAAAGAACAAGATTTGATACAGTAGAACAAAGTCATTTATAAACAAAGCATATTTTCTTTGCAGTTTCTCCTCATCTGAGCAAATCAGATTTGCCATCTCCTTCTGCTCAATTGCCAAGGACAAATATGGAGATGGTGACTACAAAATCTGAATTTATTAGCCCAGAAAGGCATAGTTTTAGTATTATACAGGGTGAGGCTACGGCGTCTAAGTGTATCAAAAGAAGGCGAAGAAACCCGTTAGCATCTACCAGTAATCAGCAGCCTGATCAAAATAAAATTATTGCTGCTGGTGCTACTACTACTACTAAGAGAAGCTCAAGATTTCGTGGCGTAAGCAGGTTTGATATGAGTTTGCTTCAAGTTTGTTCAATATTCCCTCATATGTATGTACATTTTTTATGTAGCAGCTGTGTTTGTGTTCAACTCGTAATAGTTCATGTATGTTTCATTTTATTATTTAGCTGGTATCTATTACACTACTAATAATACAACATCTTGATTAATGTACGTATAGAACAACTTTTTAATGAGAATAAATAAGATATACAACCCATGACTCAAACTCACATCCCTGTTGAAAGAGGTAGGAATAGCCATTTTCCGAGTCAAGAAATGATTGATAGGGATAGAGTCTTTTTACTTGCATTCTAATGATTATTCATTAACGGCTTGCCCCAAGTTTAATAGTTATTCTCCAAACTTATTATTTCTCTGAGTGAGAATCCCTATAGCCACGGCTTAGAAGATTGGCTATGCTGATGGCCACTTAAACCTTTATTTTTGGTTTATATGTGTTTGTGTGTATATGTGTATGTATCATGGACTTCATTTGTAGTAGTGAGTTTTGCATGATTGAGAAGTTGAAGCTGGTCAGTTTATGTGATTGCCTAATATTGTATATCAGACATAGATGGACTGGAAGGTATGAAGCTCACTTATGGGACAAGGGTTCCTGGAATCCAACACAAGGGAAGAAAGGAAAACAAGGTAGCTTTAATTAGACCAAGCACATTCCTCACTGAATTAGTTTTAGTTTTTTAATTAATGTCATATATGTATATATGTTGATTAATGCTTATATATGGCTGGCTTTTCTTGGTCATCACCTGGTGGCATCTTTGATACATATGATGGACGACATGGAGTAGTTTATCTGGGTTAGTATTTGATCTTGATTGATATAAATTAAATGATTTTTCTCCAGAGAAAGGTAAATTAATAAAGAAGGAAACTGATAATTCTTAATGACTTCGATTCAGGAGCATATGATGAAGAAGAATCTGCTGCAAGAGCGTATGACCTGGCTGCCCTCAAGTACTGGGGAACATCAACTTTTACCAACTTCCCAGTAAGTAGTTATTTTTGACGAATACATGCTACTGATCTAAAACCTTTTTAGGGCTCTAATTCTGGGTTAGACGATTCAACTTTGTCCGAATTGGGGGAAGAAATTTAGTCATGGTCTTGGAAAACTGACCTGAACATATCTTACATGCTAAAAGAACAAAAAGCCTTTTAGGTAGTTTGTGATGATTAATTTAAATTTTCGTTAAACACCCATATAATGATTCTGTTTTGCAGGTAGCTGATTATGATAAAGAAATTGAGATAATGAAGACTTTAACAAAAGAGGAATACTTGGCCTCTTTGAGAAGGTGAATATCTAAACCCAAAACTATAATTCCTAATTCCTATTGTAATACAGATTGAACTTGAACCAACCTTTTTCTTGGTTTATAGGAGAAGCAATGGTTTTTCCAGGGGAGTATCCAAGTACAGAGGAGTTGCAAGGTAATTTCCTTTTTGCAGTATAGAATTGATGATGTCTATTTTCTCTACTATTTTGGTTTGATATGGAAAGAGTTTATATGATCTTATCAATATATTTCAGGCACCACCATAATGGGAGGTGGGAAGCAAGAATCGGGAGGGTTTTCGGAAACAAGTATCTTTATCTTGGCACTTACGGTAAGTTCATCATTCTTATCTATTTAAATTTTTAGAATTTGTTTTGTTAAATAAATTGTTTGAACGAATGTAACAATAAAAGATTCTACCCGATATACGATATCAAATTCGAGCATGATCATTTGTTTTGGAACAAGTCCATCAAAATGGAAGTAAAGAATCATTTTTCTCTAGAATGAATAGTGAAGTATTCGGAGGTTATTATATATTGTAGGTACACAAGAGGAGGCAGCTCATGCATATGATATTGCTGCAATTGAATATAGAGGGATCAATGCAATCACAAACTTTGATCTTAGCACATACATCAGATGGCTAAAACCACCACCCAATCCTCCTCCCTTCACTTTCTCAGGAGAACCAAATCCAGCCACAGAGTCTACAACAACAACAGCAACAGTAACAGCAACAGCAAATTGTCTTCAACTGGATCAAATAACTGGAAATAATCCCATCTTCCACTCCAATATTGCCTATGCAACTGAAGCCTTACAGACTCCAAAATACCATGATCAAGTCCTCCCCACCACTTCATCTTCCCCAACAGCGCTCAGTCTCCTCCTCAGGTCTTCCATATTCAAAGAGCTGGTTGAGAAGAACTCAAGCGAAACTGAAGAAGAAGAAGGAGAAGAAGGAAAAGATAAGATAATGAGAAATCAGACTGTTGGAATTGGGCAGATTCTGAATAGCGAAATTAGTTATCTTCCATTGATGTATTCTTCCAACAGAAGACTGTTGCCTGGTTTGGAGTCTGAGAAGAGTTGTGCAATGGAACAAGTTGGTCTCCCTGGAATGGTCCCTTGAAGAAAATTATGCCTTTTCTTAGGGTCTGGCTTTATGTATAAGAGACCTTAATTATTATTTAAGAAAATAAGAAGGAAATAATTAAGGTGAATAACATAGGCCGCCAAGCAGCTTTCACTGCTTTTGTAACATAAGTTGTGATAGCCTTAAATAAATAATTTAATGAGAAGGCTTTGCGTTAACAAAAAACACAATCGAACTTTAGTTCAGTTTTTTTTTTTTTTATGTGAGAAAGTTTAATAAATATTAAAAAATATTTGTCCAAATCTTGAAAAGAATCCTTAACAATGAGATTATTTCTACTAAGGCCAACTCCAACCTGACTTTGGCCTTAGATATGTGGTTACGAAAGAATTAAAATATCGAGATTCAGCATGTCTACTAGAAGAAGAATCGGTGTGCCAATTTTTTAGCTAACCAGATCTTTATTTGGCTCCCTATTTTGTACTACTAATATCATCTCCCTGTGAAGCTCCTGAACATCATGAAAGATGACACTATTGAGGCTTTCTGGTCTAAGATGTGTATTTTGTAGTCTTGTCTTACGTGTTTTGCTCACTTCTTGTATTAAAAAAGAAAAACCTCAAAAACTGTTTTCATTTCATTTTTCAATGTTTTAAAAATATGTTATTGTTATTGTTATCATTTCTTTTGGTAAAAAATTAAAAAATTAATTGAGTTTTCAACTCATTATAACTTTGCTAACAAACATAATTTAATTGTCACATAATATTTTTTACCTATCTATAAGTGTAAGGATTTACAGAAATTTAACTCAATTCGACCACTGCAATCTCACCAGCACAATAATGAAATAAAATATATTTTTCAACTTAATCAAATAGTGTATTTCAAGTGCTACTAACTCATAATACACTGATAAAATGATTAATTTTATGTTCAATTTATTATTTTTCTTAACTACACAAATTAATTGTACAACTTTATTTTCTTACCATCTACTCAAAATTTTAATCCCATTTTGCTTTAAACAATATAATGTTGCATTTCAATTTCAAATTCAAATGAAAATAAATATTGTGGCGGATGACCTACTAATTCACTTCAACTCATCCGGATATGGCAGATAAGAACCTATAATTAACCGTGTCAAACGAATGAAGGTAAAAAGTGAGAAGTCCAAAACGGATACAAGACATAGATCTAATAATTTCTAGCCCCGCACTCACCCGCTATATATAATTATTAACTTTTAATGCTGTGTACATACTTAATAATTTTTTAATTTTATCTAAATTAATTAAATTTACTTTAATTAATATTTAGTGTTGTATACTTACAATATTAATTTGTATTTGTTATTAAATGTTATATTTAAATATTATTTTAATATTGTTAATTAACAAATATAAATTTTACTTATGTCGCCAATGGTACATGAAAAACTTGAATGGTACATGAAATTTCAATATGAGTCAAGTATGATTTATGCTTTTCTTAAAAGAACAGGTATATAATGTAAGCTATGCTCATTCTCATCCGTAATTCCAACACGCCGATATCTGAACAATCATTCCAACACGATAGATAGAGTCATGGAAAACGAAATTGGTTTGATCCTAAAATTCTTAGCTTTCAATTGTTTTTCCAATTTCTATCCAAATAAAACGCAAAATAAAAGGACCAAATAGAAATCAAACCAAACATAACATATAAGATAAAAGAATCACCCAGCACTCCCATTACTATGGCCATTCCTCAGCTGCGGGAGTATTATTTCAAAACCCATATAACTACACTTTTTAAACCAACAACCTGCATTACAAATGTACATAACGGCTACGACCGAAATGAAGCTGACAGCAAGAATGCTGTGCCTTGTGTACAACTACTGTTTAGCATCACTTTAGGGGAAAACACCATATATTAACCATCAGGTGCTATGATTTGTTATCGATCCTCTTTCAAACTTGAATTATTTGCAAAAAATACCCACAACGAGTGTGATGAATACATACTTTAACCAATGCTTCTAATAGCATATAGATTAACACCTAGCTGAAATACTCCTGCAAATTCCAAATTGAGTAAATAGTCAACAATCAATTAAATTTAAATACTAACAAATTTTAGCAATTCAAGATATGATATGCAACCACATTATCTACTATTCTGCTGATATCGGATTCAACAATTCTCGGGAAGAAGAACTGAGGAGATCTGGGGGAAAATAATGATGGTTGGCCAATGACATTGATGGGCTAAGGTTTAACTTAAGGCATGCCTTTGGGACCTACAACAGAAGTACTTGATCTGCATATTTGCTAATTAAAGCATAAAAAATATTGAAAAGGCAGCTGGGACTGACTCTTACTATTTCATATCCATATTAACTCGAAAATTTCAGCTATAAACAATATTGAAGTTACTCCATATAGAGACGGATATCAGAGACTGCACCAGGAAGTACTTGATTAGGATGTCATTGAACAGGAGAAGAAAAACCTAATCTAAATTGAACACAATCTTGAGTAGACAAAATAAGATAAGTGCCAATCACATTGACATTTGTGTATCAGAACAATTGAAATGGTACCTAATCAGAAACATGTATCACATCACTCAAGATATATGCAAATGAAGAAACATCTTGATTAATACAATCCTAGACAAAGACGGGCTAGAACTCAAACCTTGATATAGGTCTTGGCTTCTCATTTAAGTTATCAATACCATCTTTTGGCGCAAGATCCGATCCTGTCTGATCAAGAGATCCAGAAAAAATATCTGCAAGATCTTTTAGACCCTGAAACGATAAATAACTTAGTAAGACAAATATTGGATACAAATATTCGAGAAACAGCTAAAAGAGAATAAGAAATTAAATTAACCTAAGCTCATAGCTATTTGCACCTGCAAATGCAAACAAAACAAAAAGAAGCTATATTGCCTAGTAGATTAGTATAACAAACAAAGGCAATAACCTTTTTTCTAAAGAACAAAGGCACAGAACTTTTTGTTCAAAATCCAACTGGTCTCTATCCTTGCTAGTCCTCTTTATTTCAATAAAATGTTTATTCTTGTAAATTCTCATCACTTTAATCTTGATTTGAGCTGGTCTCTGTGACTAAGGAATAACATCCAGAATATTGCATCAGAGCAATTTATTCTGCCTAAGAAAATATTACCCAACTCTTTAAGATAACATAAACACATTAATGGCCTGTTTTGTTCAATTTTCAGTCAATTTCTACCTTATTCCTTCATCCATTACCAGCTTATAGATATAGTAGAACCTGGGACTTCACCCCAAATTTCTTTCACCCCAAATTTCTTTCTTTAATTCTTTGAAAAGGAAAAGCAGAATATCATTGAAAGTGATGCCACCCAAATACAAGTCCAAAAAGTTTATGTGGAAACATAGATGATTGAAACATAAAATTCTATATATTAAGACTAGTCCTATAAATTATTGAATGGGAACTGAGCAAATTGATGTGATAGGCATCCATTTTTCCTCTTCATAATAATAAATGACTACTCAACTAGATGGTTACAGTATTGCTGTCATATAGTGAGTCATTGGTTCTTATCCAATAGTAGGTAGAACTTATTAAATACCATTGAACTTGGAGTCTCCACATTGGCAAGTAAAGCGCGAGCTTTGGAATTTCCAGAAATTTGAAGCTGCTCCTGTAAGAGAAGTAAATTAAATAGTCTGATGAGAAAGCATCGATCTGGAAAAAATTCTGGAGATGGGAAAATTTTGGCTAATTTTTTAACAATGCAGTATCCAAACCTAACACTGCTATTGCACTTAAATTGATAAATTTGGGATTTTTGGGGAATCCATAACTTAAATAGAAGAGCAAATAGACCCACAAATAAATAACAAAATTTATTTAATCAAACTGGCGAACCTGCAGAACTTCAGGCATTTTCACATTTTTTCCACCAACAAAGTTACACAGGTACATGACACCAATGTTTGCAATATCCTGCAACCAAAGTACAATGCCAATAAGTACTTATTCACACATAGAAGCAACGAGAGAATATCAAATTTGGTGGATAGTTCTCAGTAAAGCATGAATAAGAAAGCTACATGTTAGGATAAATAAACAAGGAAAGAACAAGACCAAGGAAGAAAATATATTCCAAAAATTTTAAATATATAAACCAATTAATCTAATTACCAAAAGAGGGGAAAAATACCAATAGTTAGAGGGAGTCAATATGAAGCACAATTTCTTTTAAAGGATAGCAATAGAAAGTAGAACAGAAAGAAAAACCGAATAAGGCAATGATTTATGGCAAAGGCAAACCCAAAGCCCAGGAATCAAATTTCAATTACCAAAAACAGAAAGTTCACCAAGAAATAGAAATAGATCATAAATCAGATTTATTACTCAAATGCTACTATACTTGACATCTAAGTTACCTGAAAGTCAATATTTTCATTTTAATTTAATTTCCATAGTAAAAATATACACTACTAATATTTCTTCTAGATTCCCATAAGTTTTTTTATTTCTTTCTTTTGCTATGACCAATGCCATAGAACTATTAAAGCAACAGACTCTAACCTCCTACCATATATTTTTAATGCAGATAAAAAAACTAGAGGAAAACTTATGCCAAGTCATGTTGATTAGAAGTTGAATGAAACCACTGTCTCATAGGTTAGTAAACCAGTCCAGCCATTTATTACCTACGTGGCATTTCATGTTAGGATAGAGTTTTGTGTTTGCTAAAAGAAATATACGGAAAATGCACATGTTGCAAATTATTGATTCTGCCGTTTCACTGTTGGCCTACGGCTTTTAGTGTTTGAGAAGAAAAACAATAGGGAAAGCACACAAGTTGCAAGTTGCAAGTTGTTGAGTAGCAAAATATATTGTTCAAGAGACTAAGGAACTATCTGTCCACAATTTCTTTCAAACAAAGCATGCCTTCCTCCCAGACGCATGCATAACATTTTTTTTGAAATAAAAGTGTGAAATTGTATTGAAGTAAAGGTGCCAAGGAGACACCACCCATATACAAAATTTACATATTAATTAGCATATCCCAGATGCATGCACAAACATGACATAAGAAAACACTTTAAAATGAATTAACTAATTAAATAATGGTTGTCTACTACAGAATAAATTGTTGTTTATCTTCAAATGAAAGAAAATCATGAAATAGTTTACCTGCTTGTATTCCAGTGTGCCTATCTTCCCATCTGCAAGCAGGGAAAAGAATTACCAAAGCTACATAAAATCATAAAATTTAAAGAGATATATCTTCCGAAATACACTGGTATAAAATTCATTCAGAGCCCGCCTACAACTGCTGGCTTTCTTCACCCTATTCTCAAGAACATGAAGTTATTAAATAAAAAAAAAATCCTAAACGAACAAGGCACTTGGAAAAAGAAAGCCCAAAGGAAAACAGATCAGCCAAGTCTTTTCTGTTGTTTTCAGAAATTTCACCCAAACCAATTGGATTCAGGAAACAAAGCAGATTTCACCAACCAACATGAAATCCAAAATACTACTGAAAACAAAGATGCAAAGAGCAAACAACCAACGAAAAGAAGCAGATTATATAAGTGCTTCAAACCATGAGTTTATTGTTCAACGGTCAGCTCCCTAACAATGAAGAAGATCAAATAATCTCATAGATAATCTATAAAGCTTCTTTAGTACGTTGGTGGCACCCTACTAGTACCCTGTTTATACTTCTACTTCCTCTTTCCTCTAAAAGATGAAATCACATACAGCTAACAAGAAAAAAAAAAATCAGACTCACCAGGCCACAAATCATATTTTGCAGAGCCATCAAATCACCTTCAATAGAAGTTAGATCCTCACGAGCCAAAGCAACCTGCCAAACATTTTCGTGTCAACCCACCTTCGCAAAATCTTTTTCCTTAACTTTTCAAATGCTTGAAAGTTAGGTCCCAATTGTTTTCTAATTTTTCATTTAGATACTCTATAGTTTTATACATAAACATGTTTGAGGTACTTAAAAATGAACATAAATATCTGAAAAATACCACTGAAAAAGTAGCCTAATGTTGAAAAGAATAAATTTTTTTTCTTAATGTTTCGATTATACTTGAGTAACAGAAAGAATATATCATCATAAACATTTCTAAGTATGAAAAACATATGAATGTATAAAATAAAAACTAGAGAAATGTCGTCACGTACAAAACAACCATATTTTCTTACATTTTCTTGAATTGCTTTTGAGAGCTCATTTTGCTTGTCCATTTTGTCATCCAAGTTCTGAATCCGCTGTGTCAAATGCCTCTTCGCCGACTAGCCAACAGGATCATGAGAAAGTAATGAGGCACTAACAAAGTCAGGTGCAAATTCCTTCATGAGGCATTTAAAGATATAACAAAGTACTTATTTTTATTTATTTTCAAATATGCAGCCTCAGTTGCTCAAGCTTTTGACAAGAATGACCTTTAATAATTAAAGTATTGAAAAAAACCTTCAATGTAGACACTTGTTTGCCTATCTATTTTTAATGGCTGCCAAAGGTAGTATAAAAAAAAAGCATTACTCAAATTTAAGGCAGGCACAAGGCTTCAAGATTACTTAAAACTGTGTTTAAAACACTAGGTGTTACAAGCAACTTAAAGCACCTAATTAATTACTTAAAAATATGTTCTTGATTGGACAAACATGCTTATTCATTGTCGAAGCACTTCTGGTGTTTACGTCTACACGTCAGGGATGGGGTTAAATAGGTAATTGAATATGGTAAAAAAGCACTTTCAGAATACAAACATTTTGGGCTTGTGTTTTTGATAATCTTTGAGAATGATAGTTTTTGGAAGAGAGCTACATCCATGCACGCTAAATGACTTTCCATTATACACATGAAATGTTCAAAGACTTTTTGTGCTTTAGTATGAATTTAGTTGTCTAATGTCTAAATTTGGGCCAGGCTGAAGCTGGGGGTTCAAGCATTGTTTCTCGAAGATTAACAGGACAGGCAGGGTCTGAGCAGTTTGTAATGAAAATACCAAATAACAATGTATATATATGAAGTTTGTGCTTTTGTTTTCAGCTTATTTTTCTGGTTGCTTGAGGGTTATATGCTATATCTACATGGTCACAGGTTGGTTTATAAAAGTAGCTGGGGACCCTTTTTGGGCTTAAAATGAGCTTATAAGCACCAAATAAAGCAGAAACTTAAAAGGTGCTTTTAATCTTACCGATATAGGTCAAATGTGTCAAAAAGCTAAGCAACCTCAAAACCTGCTAAATCCAGTAACCTAATGCCTTCCTCTGCCTAATACATTACATAATAAGAGTAAATAGAACAAGTTTTAACGTCCAAGTTACTATTTTAACGTGCCAGCATAAAGCACTGGGGACAAGAAAGGTCCATCATGGCCAAGTTGAAGAGCCCATAAGTTCATTTCATAAATAGAACATAATTTTATGGCCTAAATAGAGGAAGATCAAACTAACTATGGGAAAGATTTTAACCACACTAAAATCAAGATTTATAACTGCCCCTTTCTGGAAATGAAAAGATACAAAAAGTGTTAGTATCCAATCTTTTCAAGATTCTATTCATTATATTTCTCCATATCAAACTTCCAAGATTATAAGAACCAGTAATTAGAGAAACAAACTCACAGAAAGAGCCTCTGATACTTGCTCCAGATGCTTTGTAAGGTTTGAAACAGCATTTGCCATATTGCGCTTTGTTACATACATAAGGTCTGTGAATGATATACCCTAAAGCATAAAAGAAAATGGATAATTTAGACCCTCAAAGAAATTTAAATGGATTTAATAAAAACAAAATAACGATGCACTTGAACTTTTTCTTAAAGGGGAAGCGCCATTGCCCCATGCACATTATGAATCTTTTTGAGAAAAAAAAAATGCTTGATGCCACTAAGATGAATAATTTAAGAGAAAGGAAAACCAAGAAACTTCAAACAAGACCTTAATGGAAGTAGCTCAAGGGTAAGGGCAGAGAACTGTACAATGCTGCTATTTACTACAGTTTAAAGACGGAAATGCATAAGATAGGAAAAATTTTAAAGTATTAAACAATATCAACTAATAATCAAATACCTTTAACCACATGTAGCCATAGCCCAATGCACCCAAGGTAGCAGCTGGAACTACAAGAGAGGTTAAGTTACCTGGAAAATTGGAAAAACAAAAATTAGAACAAAAAAGCAGAAATTATAAATTACACACGCATAAATTGAATAAAATTAAACGAGAAATTCCACAGCACCTATGCTGCCAGAACTCCCATTCATAACAGTTATCTGCCGGGATGAGGCAAGCTGCCGGACCTCCATAGCCAACCGTTTCACCTGTAAAACATCTCAAATCCATAAAAATCTACACTACTCTTGCGAAAACGTATGGACATAGACAAATCAAATCAATACAGGTAAATAATTTCTCAGGAGAGGAAAAAAAAAACAGAAAATTTCAAATAACTACTGTGTAACAGCATGCCCCTATTACCTGAGCCGCAATGGCATCAGAGACGTCAGATTCGCCATCCAGTCGATCTCCAGATTTCTCTAATCCCTTCACCAGTGACTGCCAATGCCAAAAATATAACACTGAATTTAACTGACTTGAGATAATCCATGCTAGTAATTCTCTATTTGATCTCTTCCAAAATAAAATCTTAATTTAGAAAAAATACTAAAATGAACTAAAGAAACCACCATAACTGCCAATTATCAGCAACAGTACCTGTAATTCGCCCAATACGTCAGATAATTTACCATTCTTGAACAAGATTGTACCGGTATATCCTGTGTGTTCAACGCACAAATTGTTGATCAGGGTACAGCTCAGAACACCGCAATGCGTGCGTAGAAACAAATAGATACATGTAGACATGTGTGTGTTGTTCAGATGGTGAATTTAGAGAGAGCAGCATACCTGCTCCAGCCAATATCAAGATCTTAGAGAATCCGATCCCTGTTTGCATAGCCATGGCTGCGATCAGAGAGGAGTAAAATTTGGGAAAGAACGGCGGCAAGGCCCTTTTGTAAGCTGCCACAGATGCGTCTACTGTTTGGATCGGGTCAGACCTTGAAACTCTTTTCGGATTTGGAAAGCTTATACGACATCGTTTCAGTGTTGCGCTCCACCGCTTGGACAATTACTGGATCTTTTTGGGAGTCAATAGAAATAGTCAAATGTCAACACTCATTTAAGGTAATAGTAGTTAATATTGTTAAATTTTAATTTTTTTGTTATGTAACTCTAATTATTATTAAATTTAAATATTAATTAATTTTATTTTAAGATAAAAATAGTTAAATGTCATTAAATTTTTGTTTTATAATACAAATTTTAATTTTAATTTTAATTAACAGGTGTCATCATATAATTTATCTCTCTACTAAAAAAAAATTATACATCAATTTTCTTTTTTTACTATGCTAATTATATTAATTGCATAAATTCTTATCTACTTAGGTATTTAGTAAATTTAAAAAGTAAAATTTTTGGAAGAGAATTTAATTTTTGTATTATTAACGGGACTTCTCGTCAATTAAATAAGAAAGCATATAATATTGTAAAATGAACTTCAAGTTAAAATAATCAGAGGCTACTATAAATCTTATTTTAATTTATAATTAACCAGTACGCTTATCATAAAAAATAATTATTTAACAAATTAAAACAAAAATATTATTGTTTCAAAGAGTTATTATTACTAATAAATATAATTCAGAGAGAAAAAATATGATGATAATTACTATTTTTTTTTTCTTTTTCTTCCACTTAAATATCAATTATTCAATAACTATCAATTTTTAGTTTTCTAAAACCCTATCTTGATTTTTTTCTTTTATAATTTTCGTCCAACTCTTTTGCTAATTTTACCAAAGAAAATGAAAACTAATATATCTAAAAAGTAAATATAAATAAAAGGGTGTAGTCACCATAGCTGAGAACAAATTTGCACACAAAACGCATTTGGTTCACAATACAGCGCAGTGGCCAGAAGGAAAATCATTTGGCTACCTTTCTCAACTAAAGACTACATATTCTTACCAGGACATGTTCTTACATTATGCCCTTTCTCTCCACACAATTTACAGGTACACAATTTTCTGGCAGTCTGCCTGTGTTCCTTGTCACCGGAATTATCCGATTTTAATCCACTTACTTGGGGGCATGTCCTACGATTATGGCCGGCAACCCGACATATTCTACACCGATGGTACCTTGTGACCCTTCTTTTAAGATTGTTCTGCCTTGACTTAGGGCAGGTCCTTCTGTTATGGCCCTTTTCACCACATGCTCTGCATCTGAACCGCCTGTCTGTATCCTTGAATTCTGGGCAGTAGTGTCTCCTGTGGCCCTCCCTTCCGCAATTTTGACAGTAAAATTTAACCCCTGAATCACAAAGAAAATTAACTGATATAAAGCTACCTACAAGCATAATAATATAGTCATCATGCTAAATTACATATTTGCTACTTCATCTTAACTTCCAATTGTAAATTTGTCTCAATCTATATTTTTAGATTTTAAGCAAATTTCAATAACTTAAGATTTCAATTTATTTTCAATCAAGTCCGACATATAGTGCAATTTTTACTCAACATATAAGTATACCCGTATATATGCATAAAATCGTTTGTGGCATTGTTACTCAACATGTAAGTATACACGTAAGTATACCCTTATATATGCATAAAACAGATTGTGGCATTCAAAATGTGGAATCTCCTTTTTTTTTTATCTCTATAATAACCGACTTCATTTAAAGTGGTAAGAAACACTTTTGACAGATTTTAGTGAAATATATGGTATCTAATACTTATCTGGTAATTACTTGAATTTACATGGGAGTTAGACAACAAGAGGACCTGATTGAAAAGAAGTTAAAACATTTTTAAAATTTTGAAACTTTGATAAATAACCAAAACAAATCAGAGTTAAAAAATTGAGGTCCAAATATGCTTTTTAGCACAAATAAGACCAGTTCGTAAATGATCTTCACCAACATGATTACCATAAATGAAATGAATCGCAAGAGCACTTAAAAACAGGCAGTGGCATGCTGGGCTGATAATGAATTTTTAGAAGCAA